ACCCCGAACCCACCCCAGCACAGTCAGGCCACCGGGTCAGCAACCCATGACCGCCACCACAGACCACCTAAGAGCCTGCAGAAACCCCCCAGGCCCCCCAGGGTATTGCACCTTATTCAAAATCAATGTGGTCCCACGGCCCTCTGTGGCCCAAAGTTAAAAACTGTTGWTCTTTTGAGGCCCTCAAGGTGGCGCTGTGGCCCACAGGTTAAGAATCTCTGACTAGGACAGGTGTCTCTCCTTTACTCCCTGATTGTCAACAAACATAAGCAATCTTCAAAACTTTGTCGAGCAAGAAGTGGTCAGAAGCATGCAATCTGATCAGACTCAATCTGCCAACATAAATCCTAAATTATTACAGTACAAATGGTTGACTAGGGAGCACATCACTCCAGCTAGACTGCATCACTTCAACCTTAATATTCTTGACATTTGCAGTAAACGTACGTCCTGACCTCTGGTGCAAACACAGACTTCACACGTCAGGTAAATCTGCCTGGTAATGATCTTTGCTCAACCTCTTTATCCACAACTGTACCTGCCTCTCCTCCCTGCTAACGTGATGTAAGCACAAAATACACGACTAACGTCTACAACCAGGGAAGGATGGAAAGAAAGGAGGGAAAACGTGACACAGAAAAACATACGGTGAAAAACAGGAAGTCAAAAAGTAGTTTCTGTGTTACAAAAAGACACTAACTTCAGCAGACTGACATTTTCACAGCAGCCTGAGCTGTGCTAGAAAATAAAATACTGTTCAAATAATACCATGATTTAAATCTGGTCATACCACCCTGCACTGGGTATGACCACCCAGATATCTGTCACACATTTACCTTTTCAATGCCAAAAATAAAACAACATAAAAGAAAAATGGCAACATCAGACACTATAAAAGAGGTTGACGTGGTGAACTTTGTCTCACCTCATCGATGTTGCGCAGCCACTTGCTGATGTTTTCGAAGCTCTTAGCGTTGGAGATGTCGTAGACCAGCATGATTCCCATTGCTCCTCTGTAGTAGGAGGTGGTGATGGTGTGGAACCGTTCTTGGCCCGCTGTGTCCCTACAAACACAAGAGTTTAGGACAGATACAAGGACAAAACTGTTGGGTATCCCTCAATTAATTAAAGAAAAACCAACACTGGTCACAGAAATAACCAGAATCTATCAAAAGCAATAATAAATAAAAATTATATGAAAATGAACAAATGAAAGTCAGACATTGTCCTGATGCATCTCAGTAATCCAGGTAGAAAAAATCAAAAAGAAAAAATATGAAGGTCCTCTGGATGGTTCTTCTTTAGTGAAACGTTTAGGAGTGCAACAATTCATGTGCCCGTATCGAACAGTGCTGTGTGCAACAATACAGATATTTAAAATTAACTTTATCAACTTGTCTTCTGAAGATGCTCTGTGTTGAAGGATCAGTGGATCTGTGTTCGACTACTCCACCTAGGCTGTATTTTTGAGCTCAGA